AATCCACAAAATACTTTTTTGGGGCCAGCACTGATTGGCCAAGCAATCTCACGTGATCCTCTGCAGCAAGTGATGGCCAAGCGGGTCGTGTCATCACAACTTTACACAAGTGTGTCTTTACCTCCATGGCAGCGGCTCTGCCGAACCCCTGAGACCGGCTCATCGAACCCCTAGGGTTCGATCGAACCCAGGTTAAGAACCATTGATCTAAAAGCTTTAAAAGTGGCCTCTGTCCCTTTTAAGAACCTCCTACYGTTTCCGACACTCCCACCTCTTCTGTCGGTCTTCTGAGTGAACTGAGGTGGTCCGAACACGTGTCAGTAATGTTCTCAAACTTTTATTTTTTATTTTATATGTATTATTTTAAGTGTTTTAACACCAGCCACAGCTGAAACAAAGTGCTGAACATCTGAAATAAGGAGGATAAAGGAAAGGATAAAAATAGTGTGACAAATGGGGCGTCTTCTGAAAGAGCCTCAAATGTTTATGTCCCAGTTTCTTAGCAGCTTTGTGGAAATTGCTGGTAAGGTGCTGCATCACCTCACATGACTAATACAGTCCTAATTTATACATTATACTAAAATACTGTYATACTGCCCAAGCCTACACTCTGGGTTTGTTTTTGATAAGAGAATGACATCATAACATGATATAAATCTCAAAAAAGCTGATTCTGCATAATACATCCCCTTTAATCACTCCTTAACTGTAAAGCACTTTGGTCAGTTTTTRTTSTTTTTAATGTGCTATATAAATAAATGTCACATTGACATAGTTGTTTATTTTTCTGATACCCAGGTGTTCTACAAACCCATGTCTGAATCAGGCCGTCTGACAGAAACTGAGATGACGGTGATCTTTGTAAACTGGAGGGAGCTGATTATGTGCAACACCAAGCTGCTCAAGTAGGTTTCACGTTATGGAACGTATTAATTAGCTTCAGGTATTCTCTGCAGAAGGCTCTTCTTGAAGGAAAGTTTCTACATCCTGTTCAGAATAGAATAGAAATGGAAATGTGTTTCAACAGGGCTCTTTATTCTGTCACATACAAGGCATTCATAAAGAGATAAAACGCAGTATGAAATCTAAATACACAAGAAGTAAACTACAGTGAACACAATACTATCACATTTCATTACCTGGATTTTGAAAAACTTCTGCTGTTAAAGGGATCCATGATTAGTTGTAACATTAGACTTTATTTGATAAACATATATATTAACTG